TTTCACGATGCTCGCGACAGTAATATTGTTATTCCCGTTTTTATAAACGGATTTTTTTTTTTTTTTATTATCTTTGCCATTACACTAACCGCCGCTGCGCCAGCGCGCGCCGTAGGCGTACACCGGCGTGTATACGGAGTGTGCGCAGTACGCGCGCACTGCCGCCACCCCGGAAAAACGCACGGTACGCGCGCGGCGTACAATACGATCGGAGTGTATAACATGGCGTATTCGTCGTCCTAATGTTATAATGTCGAGTGTATACGCCGTTTAACAACGGCCAATCGGTCACCCCCTTTTTAACCCTTTTTTTTCCCCTCCCAAATGCAGACCCCCGCGGCAGTCGTACGCGAACCGGCCGCCGTGACGTTCCGTCGTTTGTACAATGGTCCGATAGCGGCGTCGTCATAAAACAATTTCCTACCGGCTGTCCATAGTTTCGCGGCTGTGATTAGCGGGCGACGAATGAAACGATGTTTCCGAAGAGTAAGTTTTTAATTACCGCGTTGAAACGATCGCGTTTTAATCGAAAATCGGTTCGTATCGACGATTGCACGAAACTGTACTACAAACACCGGGTCACGGACGAGCCCTGCGATATTCCGTGATTTTTTTTTTTTTTTTAGTGATTATTAAATGCTGTGCGTTTGTTTTACCTCTCGGTGATGTTTCTCGCGTACGTACACGTTCTAAAAATATTGGAAATAATAGTCCGGTCGGGTTCGTTTCCCGGGCTCGGAGAGGTCGCTTGCTTGCCCGAAGAAATGTGTCCGAGTATCGACGAGCCGACGGTACACACTCGCGAATCAAAAAAAAAAAAACGGGAGAAAATCCCAACCCGTTCGTCGGCAATCGACATTCAACAGTGAAATTATTTGCTATGCTTATGCAAACTTATTTCAAACGACTTCGTCAAGTTCGGCCGGTACCTATGGTTTTTGTTCACAATTATTTTTTTTTATGTACTTATATGATTTTTATAAACCTGTTCACCTCACGAAAACACTTTTAAACGATAATTGAATATAATTCATTCGGTTGATACCCGCAGTCGTGTTGTGTTTTATCTATAGATAGGTGCATTTTTTTATTCTCCTTGTCGTATCCAGACAAATGATAAATCTTTACACGACAGTGGTTGATAGTTGTTCTTCGGTGAATGATTGATTAAACCGCCCGTAATTTGAAGGCAAAAGCGATTTTGCGCAGGAAAAAATTACTCGGGCCACAGATTTAGTTGAGAAATTAAAATTCCCCCGTAGAAAAAAGAAAATTAGCATTATGCAACGTTGTATTTATTCGATAGTAGAAAAACAAAAATAAAAAAGATCTGATACTTTTTGGTTATCCAAGCGGTTTTCATAACAACTCGGAAAAACGGGAAAATTTACAAAACGCGTATTATTTCCGATTTGGTTTTTCGTTGGGATTGAGTTAAACATATCCGACTTACAATTACGACCAATTACGACAACAATTACAGGATGTATGGGATCACTGTTACCGTACAAATTTAGCCTGCCCACAAATAACGACTGAAAATGTACACATCGTCACCAATACCCTTAATTCGTTAACATTGCAATTTTCGTACCTATATATGTATTATAAATTTATTAGACAATAATAATATTACAGTTGTGCACAATATATATTTTAGCGTGGTATGCGTTTTGTTTATATCGTAAGTCCGTAACTGTTAATGTTTTTAAGCCAGAGTTAAATTGTAGTCATATACAAAAATCACGTGTATAGTAGTCGTGTGTTTTTTTTTTTTTTTTTTTTTTGTTTTTTTTGTAAATCCGTATCGATGTATAAAATATTTTGTATGCATAATAACGAAATAACGTACAATAACGCGTGCAAAATAACGTACAATAACGCGTGCAGTTTTAATGATTTTTTTTTTTTTTTTACCTCGATTACAGGACAGTGTTGTCGTGGACCGTCTGCGATTGAGCGATTGAGGAGACGGCGAAAAACGCGGTCCTGTGCTCTCCGCTTCCTAAACGCGCCTCAGAGCCGGCGGCGTGATTTGGGCTATGTGCTTCGGAGGGTAGGATAATTTTTGATTATTATATAAAAGAAGGGCTACGAACTTGTTGTTTATTAATTAAGACTTATATTCAGAGCGGAAGGGATTAGAAATAAAAAAAAAAGGTCACTACAAGTATAACATTGTCTAAAATTTTAAACAAGACAGTTAATAGATAATTGACAAATAGAATTATAAACATCAATCCTAAACAAATTATTCAAATTTGAACATTCGGTGCTTTCTTCGGATGTAGCGATGCATTTCTTTACTTTGGACTACCAACAAAGTCAATCCATTTATTCGGTTCTAATAAACAAATCGTTTATTTTTATGGTACTTCCGAAATTAATGTGCAACATCCTTATTTTCGATTATAAACATACTCCTGACGTTGTATGTTCCGCAAGTAATTTTTAACAGCGTAACCTTAGCTGCCAATTATGATTTTGGTCATCACTTCAATTTAAAATTTAATCAAAAACATTTACATTTTTATTTATATTTAACGCACCGAATTCGGTTTGAAATGCATTTATACGGTAACTATAAAAAAAAAAAAAAAAGAAAAAAAGCCCGAGGGGAAATTCGATCCGCCTCCCTGATTACGCCACTGCTCTCGCGTTTAACTGCAGTATATGCCGCGCGTTTCAACTGCTGTACGGACTGCGCGACACGGCGTTATAAATAGTAAGGTACCACAGATATAAGAAGATCGATCCTCGATGGTACACTCGTCATCCTACAAATCAATTCCTTTTTTTCGGGATTTCTGCAATATTGCACTACTACCGTTATTTTTCGTCGTCCTTTATTGTTGGGGGTGGAACCGTCACTAGCGACTTTTGATTTTAAAATTTTAAAATGGCCACCTATATACTGAAAATTCCATAAATACACGGCGTTTGGGGTGAAATTAATTTCGATGTTGACATTTTTTTTTAATTTCCGTCAACCCGTCGATGAGATATTCGACTTTTAAGTGTCGGACAAGGGACCGAACGTAGTGGACCACTATTCGGATGCCGCGCGCCGTGTATGATGCTTTAAACTTAAAAGTGGAACGTCACGTCAACGGGTTTCAACTGAAACCTAATATATTTATGAAATTTTTAAAATAGGTTGCCGATTGAAAATCAAACGTAGGCAGTCGTTTCACTTGAAAAAAAAAAAAAATAACGGAAATGTAACATTTTAGAAATACAACTCGTTTCTTACGTTTTAAAAAAAAATCCGGGAAAAATTAATACTTTCCGAGACATTGGCGTGTCATATATAGGATTGATCACCCTGCAGCATATAAAATATTATGAAAATCAGTTATTTTCGATTTTCATATTACTAATAGCTATTATTTATTATGATAAGTTAATTTTCATTATTTTCTCGACATTAATATTATGATATTGAACAATCGCATAAGCATCCAATGAACGTTGAGATATTCGTTGAGTTGAATAGGTATTAGTGATGGGAATCCGAAAATCCGGATTTTTCAAAAAAAAAAAATTATTCGAGCCCCTTGAAAATCGTTTAAGTATTAAATATTATTACAATATAAAACTGTGTACCTAAGTTAAATGTTTGGATAAAAATTCGAAAGCAAAAACTCTTAACTTTAACTTGAAATGCTTTCGGATTTCAACAAACTCGGAATCCAAAAACAGTTTAATTTTTTTGGTGTTGCGTTTTATTTTTACATTTTTATAAAAAATATTTTACTTAGGTACACAGCTTTATGATGTAAAAATATTTAGTACTTTTATGATTTTTAAGTGGGCTTAAATTACTGTTTTTTTGTGAAAATCCAGATTTTCGAAATCCCATCACTAATGTACATCTCAAGTTACTAAAAATTTAGGAAGTTAGAATGCATAAGATTATTTCATTTATAACTGTAAGCAACGATAAGCCTTTGCTGACGAAAGACGATTCCGAGCGCAGTTCGGTAATACATAATTTGAAGTGCCATAATTTTTTTTATTTGCTTCTTTCGTTTAAATTTGATTACAAAATATAAAACCAATAATATACAAAAAATATTTTTAACTGAATTACAACGAATTCGTCTTCTTCTGGTTTTTCATTATGAAATCAAAAAACGTCTTGCGCCATGAGAAACAAGTTGAAACAAAAAAGATTTCTTGTCATTTTTCGATTGAAGCACTTTTCCTAATAATAAACGTTTTCCGTATTAATGTAAAATAATGATATCGTGAAATTGTACGATTTTTCCCGATTACTATGAAAACTAATTAGAAAATCGAAAAAAATGAACTGCATCGTTAAAAACAAGTTGAATAATTCAACACAAAAAAGGTCTCTTGTCGTTTTTCAATTGGGGCCATATTTGTACTAGAAAACGTGGTAGGTACTTATTTAAAATAACGAAATCGTATTTTTTTTCCCCGGTCAAGTGTTTTTATTTTATATACCATTTCGAAAATCAAAAAATTACCTATGCAATAACCAAGTAGATAATATCGACTTTCAGAAAAAGTGCTACACTTATACATCGAAACAAGTTTTCAAGGATAAAAGTGGTCTAGAGCATAAAAAAAAAATAAAAAATAAAATAAAGTACCGTTGTAAAAAAATTTAAAAAGGGAAAAAAAAAAGTCACCCGATGATTTTTACCAAGTTTCAAGTCTCTACGTGTGTTTATAACCGAATTACAGTAAAAAAAAACTACCAAAAATTAAAATTCCTTAAAAGCTCAAAAGTTTTGGCGATGATACCGTAAAAAAGTAAATCAAAAGACAAAAAACAAAGGTAACATGTCATTTCTTTTCTGGTAGAAAACATCGTCCGCGTTTTTATAAAATAATGAAATCGTGAAATTGTACTTTTTCCTCACTCAAACGCTTTTATTTGAAAAATTGGCTTTCAGAAAAGTTGCTACCCGTAAAAACCGGAGCAAGTTTACTGGGAAAAAAACGTGTCCACGGACCGGAACAAAGAACAGAGAACAAAGACGAAGTAAACGGCATTGTAAACCCAAAATCTAAAATGCGAATTTACAGTATCAACTTTATAGGTATAATATATAAATATTGGGTACACCTACACAATTTTTTTCCAGACATAAATAACGCATCGTGTATAATATTGTAATTACACGGGTCAACCGAAGCAATTTCGCGATCGTAAAAATTAACGACACGTTTAGTATACGCAAATTATACGCAGTGTCTCACGACGGTTATCGCAATATCTTGGAAAGCATTAACTGTTTTCGTAGTTTTTTTATTATTTTGTTTTTTCCGACAATTCGCGAAACGAGACGTAGTTTTAAAATGTTGCATTTCCTTAATTTTTTTTTTTTTTTTGTCACCTTTATTTTCGGATGCGAACCGGCCGTCTACATTTGATTTTCGCGTGGAACATCATATGTGTGTGGCGGCACATTGCGCGGCGTTTGAATAGTGCTCCGCTACTATACAGCATACTTAAAAGTGTAATATCTAATCAACGGGTTACCGGGAACGTAAAACGTCAACACCAAGATGTATTTAAAACTGTAAACTAATACTCTGTCTATTTTTTTGTTTTTTTTTTTTTTTTTACACAGATCGCCAAATTGAAAACCAAATGTAGGCGGTCGTTTCGCCCGAAGAAATGACGGTGAAAAATACATAATGGTAATGTAAAACTGTTGAAAGTTAACACGCTAACCTCGGGCAATCGCATTGCCTTCGCGGGGCGCCCTGCCGATTTATAATTTAAATGTACCGGCGATAATTTTCGCGCGATTAATTTACGAGTCCGCTATTGTTTCCGGAGCGATTAGGAGTGTTACGGCTCACAAGGCGAGTAACAGCCAGGCGGGTAGGTACTGCGTATCGCGCGAACGTTGAATTTCCGTACAGACGCGTTTTCTGGTAGATAAAGTCAATATCGTAACGATTACACGGTTGTGTTGTGTTTAGATGAATTTATTTGAACAAATCATCTGAACAAAACGTGCGACGGTGTGCCGCTTTTCGGGACGGCGCCGCGCCCGACCGGGATAACCGCTACCGTCCGTGCGGCGCGCGCGAAACACGTTTTTGCGCGGCGACATTTCGGCGTCGGTGCGAAACAAACGAAACCCGACGGCGCGGGCGCCCGTTGGAGGGGGGGCGGGGCGGGTGGGCGAGGAACGTTCGCCCTCCTCCCCCCCCTCCCGGTAAAAATAACCGAGTATCCGAAATGAGAAACTGAGAAGCGAATTATCGTCTGCCGGAGCCGGACGGCGCGTACCGGCGGCGCGTCGCGCGTCGCACTGCCGCCCGCAACTCGCGCGGTAAACACCGGGGTGTTTCGGTGTATTGAGCGCGGTGCCGAAGACGATTTCGCACGGCCGTGGTCGACCCGACGATCGACGGGCCGTGCGCGACCAGTCTCCGTTGGGCGGGGAATCGAAAACGGTTGGTCTTGAAAAGAGACGCTTGCGACTTGAGTATTCGCGTACGGCGGCAGGCCGTTTCGCATTCTCGATTCGCGGTACGACACGATGTTATCGTTTAAAAATAAAAAAAAAAAAAAAAACGTTCAATCCGCTCGGGTTGTCTGCTCGAACGGCGCAAATTGCACAGCGGAAAACGTAAACGCGATACGACGTCGATTTCGGTAGGCGCTCGCCGGTTTTCTCCAAAAGCCGAATATGATGTTCGCGTACTTTTTCGAGAAACACCGACCTGGTACGCGTACGGCCGCAGACAGGTTTTCGGTCCCGTCTCGTCCTCCGTCTGAAAATCGCGCTACGGGGGCGGGGAGGGGGGGGGACTGGGGGACGTTCGCCGGATCTCTTTTTCCGAACCCCCGAGGCGCCGAGCTATTGCGTTACCACTGTTGTCGGGGTAAGTGAGTAGCGTCGGAACGCCGCGGCTCGGAGCGACAGTGTTGCCGACAACTCGGCGGCGAGTAGGAATCTTGTTCGGTGACGGTAAAATGTCGAGATTTCCGTATTGATTTGACGTGGTAAAAAAAAAAAACCGACAAAACTTTCGACGGCGACCGGCCCACCGAACCGTCTTGCGCACTGCTTCCGAAGGCCCGACTCCCCCCTACACCCTCACCACCACCCCCACCCCCCGGCCGCCGCCGTCGTCGCCGCCGCCGCCGAATTCAACCGAGACGCGTCGACGAGATGGGTCATTCGGGATTTCAGGTACGATAATCGAATTGTTTTTTCGTTGATTGGTGGTGGGCTACTACCTCGATGGTTCGAAATAGCGAAAAAAAAAAAAAAATGTTAAAACAAACTGAAAAATAATTATTAAAATTAATATTATCACTTTTGGCACGGGCAACGCCAGGCGGGACACAGCTAGTACATAATATAGCGTAATAAAATATTATAGTCGATGAAAATACGTAAATAATACGTTTAATTATAAAATAAATTTTTGTTTTTTTTTCTTTTACTGTTTTATTGTATAAGTAGTGTATTTTTTACTTTTTTTTTTTAACTATATACATCCTCTGCTTTGTACAATTGTATAAATTAGACATTTTTTATGATTTTTTTTTTTTCTGTACCTACACACAAGACCATATCATTATTGTATAAATAATTAATTTTAATTAATTTGTTTTGTATCTACGTTAGTTTTTAACTTAATTTTCTTCTTTTTTTTTTTTTTATTTATATTTACTATGTTATTTATATAAGTTGTATTGATTATTAATTACGTAATATTATTTTATACTAAAATGACGTACGAAAACAATTTTCGTCGTAACATGCATTTTGGCTAATCGCCGATACGACAACGTTTCGTAATATTAAATAGCGCTAACATATTTCGTTTTCTCAGTCCGTCTCACGCGTAATAAAACGGGCATCCCGGAATCGCACGGTTTCGACTCACTGGTTTTGTCGAATTATCCGCGTTTTGATTTTCACCATTCATATTGAAATGAAAAAATTGTCAAAAAAAAATTAATTTAAAGAAGCCCTAACACTGGTGTTCTTTATAAAATATATAGCAGGTCCCTTTGCTCTAAACTCAACCGGAGAGACTTAGAAAACTAATGTTAGTGACGAGACCACATTGAGGAAACGCGTCGTAGTTTCCGGAAACAAAATATTATTTAAGGGTTAGATTCGGTATGTGAGACTGTCAACGTTTGAGGATTCTCGGATATTTCTGTGGTTCAGAGAAAGAACCCGAAAAGATCCAGAGGCCACGACGTAATTCTGTAAAAGTTCAGCCCGCGCAAAACATTTATTATCTAAATAATTCAAAGTAATTTAAATAGGTAATCTAAAATCATAATTTCGAAAAAAAAAATCGTCTGATCAAATTTTTTAATATTTCGCAACCATCTCCGTGGAATTTATTCAAAGACACAATGTGTGTGTTCAATGAAAACAGAAAGTATTTGTTTAATAAACAACTCCTTTCCTCCTCAATCTGCAACTATGGCGATTTTGCCCCGTTTACGCCAAATATCGAAAAATGACGCCACTGACGCAACACGATAAATAATAATATAGTGAATTGTCGTTTGGAAAACGTTCGTGCGGATGTCCAAAATACGGTTTCGGACTCATATCCGTTTGCGAAACAAACATTTCACAGTTTAATATATAAACAATAACATAAAAAAAAAATGATTGCATAGCAAACTGTCGTATCGGCAATTATTTGGATTCTATGTATCATTGTCAGTTTAAAATAATATCAGTAGCAGTCGTAGCTGCAGTTCATTTACATATTATAATATTGTTGTATTTTTGTCGCGCGTTTTTTTTTTATTATTATTATTATTACATGTAAATAGCATACACTTCGTTTACTGTATATTATTATAATGTGAAAATTGTTATCGTATTTTTACACGTACGTGTGTAGATAAAATGTTTTAGGGGGAGAAAAACGCAAACGCTACCATATATGCATATAGTTAAAACCCATGTTTTGTCCGTGTCCATCGATCGTTTTATATTTTCGCAATGTTTGCTTTTCAGAGGCAGCTGACCGACGACATCGCTGGAGCCGCTACCCGAACCTTGGGGTTTCATTAGGCATTTTCCCGAAATTTAACAAGTGGCAATGCCCTTAGAAATCCCATGCGTCGGGTAGCGACAGTTTCGGTTATTAAAGACGCACACAACGACGACGACGACGGCTGCGCAGACGTTACCGGCAAAAATACAGTAATATAAAATTATACGCTTGGTAACATTAACAAAAAAAAAACCCCTGTCTGAAACGTTTTAAACATCATATTATGTTCGTTCTTATCATAAACCTTATACTAATAGACACGAAACGATGATTACGCACCGGGCGTGGAAAGATAGAGGGCGCTTTACGTTGACTGAGCGGCTGTAAATTATCGTACACGCCGTTAAAAGTACAATACGCATAAGCCATTACCAATACTCCGAATCGTGGCCGAATACATAGGTATGATCGCGACTACTTATTCTATAGCTTTTCGTGCAGAGAAAACGCAGCCGGAAGTGATATTTATTTACCGGAAATAATACGGGAATCACTGCCGGTGGCGGCCATTGTAACTGTGTATCGAAAAGTTGCGATCGTCCCTATATATTTAGCCATGCTCTGAATATTCAAGTGCCAAGTATACGTAACTGCCCGGTGTCCCAATGTAATACTACGAGTACCTACGACCCACTTATTAGCACAAAATACAAATTACAAATTACAATTAATACAAGTTGTACACAATTATTTACTGTAAAACCGTTGATTATGTGATGTGTGTACGGTAAGCTTACGATAATTTGCATTGGGGCGTACTATTGGTAAAATCAGTACGCTTGGTGTCAAGGCGGGCTACATCACTACGATGTGTTTCCACGCAGCCGGTAATGCTGTAGTCACACGAGTCTATTAGTACAAGGTCCTGTGGTTCTTATACGGTTAATCGTGCAAAACATACCTGCTAAACACCCCGAGGTTTTAGAAATGGGCCGATACATAATGTTGAACCAATGTAGAAAAAAAAAATAAAAAATCGAAATGATATTAAAAAATTAATACTAAATAGTTATATCACGCCACAAAATGTATAGCTTACACATCAGTATATCACATATATTCAACTAACCGATGATAACACTTAGTTTTCGATCCACTATGTAATTGGAGGACCGTGTCCTTTATCATCTATTTCTATATTCATAGAGTAACGTCGGTGGTTATTCTACGATAATATTATAACGATCTGCACGGTCTCGATCACCGCGATAACAATTGGTAGTAAAAAAACACATACAACGGGTGCCCATAGTCCATTGATTAACGCAGATGTAACACCCACGGCCTAAAATAAAAAATGGCGGTCACATCGGTGATCTCGAGCAAGTATACGTGCTGTACCTGTATGGCAGTTCTATCTATCTAGTATAGTAGTATATTATCTACAGCTGTGGTATAAGTATAACATACAAAACTGTTTGTTGGTAAAGGTGTTGGGTAAGATTGGCCATTAAAATTGAAAAGAAAAACTGCGAACCAATCTGAGGGTTGAAAACAAACAGATGAAGGCTGGTGGCGTGGTTTTTTGCCATCACTTTACTCGTTACCGATAATTACCATAGTCGGACACTATAATAATTCAATACCAGCAGTACCCATCATCGAGGTATAAATAAAAATAAATGTTAATAATATTTACCGGATATCGGTAGCACAATACACCGGAATATCGGAAAAAGTGGTATCGGCCTATCCCTTATTTATTATCTTGTTCTGGCAATGACAAACATTATCGTGATCTGTTTATAATAAATTATTGCCGTTATCATAATTTCGTCGATAAAAATACTAATATCACGCAGTTATGTTGTTAGAGTAAAAATATGTACAATTAGTTATGTATCTACCCACCCATAATAACAATGTTTAATAAAGTTGTATTGTAAATTCTAAGCGAAAAGCAAAGAATGTATTGGTTGTAAAATGTATAATGTGTACTTTTTTATTCAATTTAATTTGTTCTTTCCGTGAATAATGTCTCCACCAGAAATCTTACTCGGACCATTAACTTCAGGCAGTGGCATACAAACGGCTTACTGTCAAGCTACGCGCCTGCACCAGTAGCGAATGTGAGGAGGCCTCAAATCGTATTTGCGATCGCCCCCACATCAATTAAATAAAAAAAAAATTATTATTACAATAATAATGATAAATAAAAACACTTCGTGGTAAGATAAATAGGTTAAAGTATTGGCTTGTGTATAATAATTTTAGTGTCGCCCACCCCACCAATAAAACTAAATCAAATACGCCACTCGATTTCCCCAGAGCCCGGGGGTGCAACGGCGAACCCTGAGGAAGGGTGTAGGGCAGAGGTTCTCAAACTTTTATATGTGTATTATAATGGTTTTACATTTATTTCAGAACGATAAGAGTGCAAGACAGCGAAATACTGCAACATAATATCAATATAAAATATAGTATTAGGTGTATTAAAAAAAAACATTTGTACGAATATTCATTAATTTCTGTATTGTTACCATGCGGTTTGTGGCGTACCACCGCCATGTTGCCTACAGCGCACCGCAGTTGGAGAACCACTGATGCAGGGCACGCGCGCTAAATCCATTAAAATTCAAATACTCGGGGTTGTTTTATATTAATATGATACGATCGTCGATTTTAATAATATCAAATACGTTGCATGATGATCGCGGATTGTGATATAAGGTCCGATAAGTGTCCAGTTCCGAAAAAAAAAAAAAAATACGCTCGGACGGAGCTGGGGCCATGGGCACCCCCCATTGGGGAGGCGAGGAAGGGAGGAGCACGTCCCGTCCTGGATTTCCCGTGTCTGTAAATACACGTGTACGCAAAACATTATAATTTATACGTATTACATTGAATGAATGAAAAATTGATTGCCGTATTATATCGTGTGCGACAGGATTATTTTCACTAGAGGTTTCCGATCTGTTGTCGACGATATAATTGAAAAATCAAAATAGCACAGGCGATCGCGCCGGTCACGAATTAGTAGAACCGTTGATTTGCAAACACTCAATAATCATAATCAATGGTAGGATCTATAAGACTGTACGCGATTAGATATTATTGGCTATGATACGCGTGTCGCGTTATATTTAATCCATTACCTCAGTTCAGTCAATCGAAAAATGTATCACACCCCATTCGCACGACCGTATACTTCTTACAACGCGTACAATTGACGTACGTCTACAATGACGGAGCGGAGACTCGCTGAATTATGTACGCTTAGTATAGCAGGTGCACAGACATAAATCGGACAAGATTTAAATGTTCGATTCGAAATGTTGTTAACGAATTTTCAAGAAATAAATTTAATTTGCAGTTCTTGTTCTAAGATTTAATCAGGCCGATCTAAACTTTAATGTAACTGATTTTATAATTAAATGAAAAAAAAAATAAAAAAAAAATACAATATGTACGGGTACGCACATTTCAGTTCATTAGAAATTAAACTACCCACCCACTCTTAGTTTTTTTCATAAATAATTGTGTAGTTACGATAAATACTGGTAGACAGCGTTGTTAGAAACAGGAGTACAGTAGCCATATAACACCGTAAACTAGCGTACGACAGTTAACGGGTTAACACGGGACAGTAAATATTATTGGAAAATATACGGCGCGTGTCCCCCTGGGATTTTCGGTAGAGGTATACGTCCTTGGCGGAGGCTCACGAAGGAAAACTTGAACCGCGCGGCCTTGCATTACCGTATTATGGTTCTCGCGGAAATTCTCCCGGGCCCGTACCGCGGTATCGGCCGCGTATGATGATAAATTAATAATATTAATTAACCCGTTTCCCGTCGGCGCATATAATAGTCTAACTGAAAACTCAGCCCGCGCTCAGTGAAAACGGCGCGATTCGACTGAACGCCGATTTTATCCGTGCAGATTAGTCATACGTGTGTAAGCCAATACGACGTGGTTATTCGAACTGTGCGGTCGATCGGGAAATAAATTCGAAATACCCGTTGATAAAACAGCGGCGATTAAACCGCGTGTACAGAGTGATCAATCTATCATAAGGCACTCGTTATCTCGGAAAGTGTTTACTTTTTCCGGAATTTGTTTTTTAAAATGAAAACAAAATCACGATATTTTAGCGATATATTTCGTAAATTTTACTGGTTTTTTTTCTTCAGTTTTTCAAAATTGAAAAATTACCTCCCCACGCCGATTTTCTTTTCGAGAAAAGACGCTACAATTAAAAGTCTGAGCAAATCTTCTGGTAGAAAAGTTGCGCACAGATAAAAAAAAAAAGTATAAAAATCTTTGTAAACTATAAACTTCGAAAATTAGCCTTAAACATGAGATCAAACGTGGTAATAAAGATTATGATGTTCAAGTTGGACGGGTACACAGAAAAAAAAATGTTTAATAAACATTTTCTGGTTTATTTTGGTCCATCTAATTTGAATGCGATTCCTCTGTATTTAAAACAAAATATATTCGATAATATTAATAAAATGTCTAATTACGTAATAAATCGTAACAACTCTATTGTAATCTGGTTGTTAGGTGAACTCTATTCATGTACAGCACTGTACTCTATTTACTAGTGTTAGTATAAGGTTTATAAAAAGACACGAATTTTTAAACATCCAGATTTTTACGCGCTCCCGTTTAGTTCAGATACATTCGTAAAAAACTAAATAAAAAAATTGCCTATACATAGCCCCTTAAATATTGTATTTTATGAACGGTATATTTATGGCCTGCCCTTATCCCATAATTGGATATCTACAACACGTAGTCAAAGCACGTAAGTCAAAGAATACCCCCGAATCAACAAGTCTATGTCACAAAATAGCATATGCATTACAAGGAATATCAGAATGGAGCTTCCCCACCACAAATGTGGATGGGGAAAATACAGATTAGGTTAGGTTAGAGTTAAAATAAAACAAAAATATACACAGAATAAGGAATAAACCAACGACAGTTACGGGAAGTGACAAGTAGATAATAAAAAAAAAAAAAAAAGAGAGAACTATGATGGTATAGGAAATCGAGTCATTAAGGTTAAATTTACAAGTATTATTTTTTAGACGGTTGGTCTGTGTCAAAACGGTCAGTGTGAACGAAACAGCCGAATAATCTACAGTGTAGAGTATACGCACTTCACGATAAAAACGTACTCGGGGTTTATCTTACACGAACGTCGGACCGGTGAGACTGATCGGGGCCGAATACGAAGTCATAACCAATTTGTCGCTAAGAAAATCGCCAAGAGAGATATTCTGCGTTGGGAGGACGGAATAAAAACAGTAATCGACTTCAAAATTGTGAAGCCGTAAGTAATGAACATCACGACGCAATAGTAGGTACGTACAAAGAAATAGACGATCGGCGACAACTGTTGTACATTTCATTGGGGAAAAACGACAAAGAAAAATTAACCGACGACGACGGAGGGGGCACAACGTCGAAAACGAAGCCTGATCAACATAATGGCTGGAGTGCACTTGCTATTCGGCGTATGCGATGGTCAATGCACAAGAGCGACCGATGAAGCAGCAAAACGTAATGAAACGGAAATGGCGCCGACGTGTTGCACGTAATCAAAACACGAACAACGGCAGTAAAGGCAACATTAAAGAAGTTTACGCTACTTCTCCGAAGAAGGCCACGTCCTTTGCCTCGGGCCCGTTTTCGCAAATTGGACTAGTGCCGTTTTCGTCGTTTAAACTAATCGGACATAGTGAATTTTTGTAAACGAACTTGCGTTCATCATTGGAAATATTAACTTGGAGTCGATACTCGAGTCTCGGCGTTTAATTTGTTTGAACGTTACCGCCAAAGACGTCAATCCTTGCGTCGGGCCCGTTACACTCGCGTGAGACAGAACGGAGGAAATCGTTTAATTGCCAAAATATAATAGATATTATAAATTGTCGTTGACAAACTACCCGGGCGCGATGTCCGTGCACGCGGCCGGATATAGTTAACCACGCGGAGCGGCTGGGGATAACGGGTTGCGGGAGATATGTTCCTGATCGAATGTAACGCCGCCCGAATCGCCGCCAAGAGGAGATGAGGCCACCGCGGTCGAACGCGAGCAACTTTGCGACACTCTAGTTTCATGAATATTTGCACTCGTTTTTTCGTAATGAATTATATTATTGCATATTTTCCGATCTTGTGTTTTTTTTTGTAATATCAACTAAACAATATCTATACCTACTTCGACTTCGTATTCCTACGTTGGGCACCGGTACAATGTACCCAAGATACCATTGTATGATCAAAAGTGTGCCACAAAATAATGTTCCTAGAAAAAGTTGTGGAAACATTACTTGCACCTCACTGTGAACAAAAAGCAAGGATATCTTAATTTTTTTTTTTAATCTGTTATCAGATACTGATACAATATACCCTAGGGCCCAGATACCCTTGTGTGATCAAAAGTATGCCAAAAGATCATGTTTCCTAAAAAAATTGTGGAAACTTTAATTGCACCTAAACATGAACAAGACACGTGGAATTGCAAGAAATATCTTCTTGCCATGGTTTATGTTCAAAGAGAAAATAAACAGTAAGTTTAAATTTGTATAAAATTGTATTTATAATATTGATAGACACATGAATTATTTAACATTAGCCAAATGTGAACATTTACTATTTGACAAAATGGATACTATTTGCATTAGCCAAGGCCTTCTGGATAATGTTGAACACCTATGACTCAATTTATAATCACAAAATAATTACGAGCAAATAAACAACAACCAAAGAAGTATTTTGTATTTTTAAATTACCTAATATCCATATTATATTTTTTTAAGTTAATTGATTTATTTATTTATTTTAAAACCCGATAACATATGAAATGCCTTTAAAAAATTTGTTTTTTATTAACTCAAAATATTAATGATTTTTATTTTGTTTTATTAAAATGTACATTTTTATTTACAACGGGTCTTTTTTCCTAGTATGGTTGTTGGTCAGGGGCTTTTTATTCCACAATTCCAGTGGTTACTCCCCATTTGTATGTTTTCTTTTGTCCTTCTTACTTCCATATTCTGTTAATAGTTTACCATTTAAACATAAGTAATACCCTGAAGAAAGGGATTCTATTGGATATCTCCACAGTGTATCTATGTCATAAATGTTTACATTGGTAAAGTTATACAATAAACATAATGTTATTACTAAAATTAGAAATACAAAATTAGGTTAAATATACCTGAATTCAGTTTCGTTATGACAAACAGCATTCTGATAATCGTTTTGATATACACCATAACGATAAATTTCTATAACAAATATTATAATGTTAGTAGGTATATAATTAGGTTAAGTAAAGTAGTAGTTCATAAACAATTGTGGTAATTATGTGTACATTAGTGAAATTTGTTAATTTTAGATTGTGCTTATAACTATGAAATAATTATTAAATCGTTTTGTTATACTACAATGGCAAGGTCACATAATAAGCACATTTTTATTATTTGAATAGGGGCATACCCAGATGTGGATAAATCCAATTCAGTGGTTGGAGATCCAACAGTTCAACAACATCTAAATTCTCAGTGTGAATTAATGGATATATTTATTAATAAGGTAATGAACAATTTTGAAATTGATCCAGTTTACGGTTTAAGTTCCCGATAGTTGTTGTAATATTGTTCTTTTATCACTCTTCGAGTGTCTTTATCACCATCACCACATTATTCATGATTTACTGTACATTTCTCACACAATTCCAGCACTACAGTTGTCGCAGATTTCAACATTCCAAATGCGAGAGAATAACATTATTTAATTAGACACTGCTTAAATGATCTAACAACTTTGATTGATGGGAGTTTACTTGGCATTTAAGTAAACCCACAAAAAAAAAAAAAATCTTATGGCATTAGATCTGGATATCGTGGTAGCCAATTTATCAGATCTCTAGTTCTCATCAATTTCAATTGAAAATTTGTATGTAAATAATCTTAAATTATATTTTAGTTACATGGTGGAGCACTGTCTTATAGAATCCACATATTATATTGTACATTTAATTGAATATATTCTAATAATATCATTGGTGTATTTGTCAAAAATAATTTGAATATTCTTATTGTCTCGGTCGTCGCCACATGTATTACCATTGAAAACCAAGAGCTATCCAGTACCATTGTACCTTAGCTACTTGAAATAGCTAAACAAATTGTCACTAAATTGATCTGGTTAATATTAATAGTTTCTTAATAAATAATGTAGAATTCATAGGCCAAAGGCTGTACATTTCTAAAAAAAAAATAAATAAAAAAGATAAGTAAGAAGTAAAATAATAAAAATGAAATATCTTATATCTTTGAGCTATTCAATGGCATTTTACATTTTCAAGCTTTAAACGTAGTATTCCTTTTGTAGATATACTATGTGGATAAAAATATAAAATTGTTTTACCAAACAGAAACGATTAAAAAATTTCACACATTCTTCATTATAGGTTATATCCAGGGGTAAAAAAAATCAGGAATAATGTAGTTTTTTTTTTAATAATAATTTTAAATCAAAATTTGATGTTAATCATAAATATTTACGGTATTTTAAAACATATATAACTGAACTTTGATCAGAATTGTTAAATTATTAACAATGTTTTATTGCTGCTTGCAGATATAAATCAAACAAGTCTATGTACGATACCTGCCTAGCTTCTCACCGTTGTAGATGCGCCAATATTACAACATTGGCCCATCCACATGCAGTATCAGCTCTTTTTTTTTTTTTTTTTGGAACGATTCTAGTTTAGCTGCTAAGCGAATTTTTGGTTGTTTTTTCATGAATATTAAAAATGTTGAAAAATGTTTGACAAACTTTGTTTCGAAGTTATAGGAAATAAGTTCATAAAGTTCGAGTTTTCTGTTCCGCGTATTTCTTAGTTAAAATTTAAAATTGTCTCATTTTTTTTTTTCCAAAATGCGTTTTTAAATGCTTAATCCATTGGTGTAATCAAGTTGGGTTAGGTGACTTTGGCCGTATTTCAATCTCTCATACTGTAGGTACTTTTATTTGGAAAATACACTATTGATTTATTATTCAAAACTACGTCAGTTAGATAACAGAGGAAAAAAACCGCGAAAAATTCCTTTTCATCTTTATGTATATTTGCAGAACTATAATTGGTGCTTCCTATTCCTCTCTCCTCATGGCTTGCCCAAATCATCTCAGTCTATTTTCTCTTCTGTTATTTCTAATTGAATATAATAAGAGTAATAATCCAAAACCACACTAATCCATACACATTTCTCTTCAGTCCTTCCCTGGTACCCTTGTGAAGACTTAGATATATTATATAGGCAAAACATACATAGTTCAAATTATAAATAATATTTCTAATATACACTGTATTCCTTAAATATATATATATATTATTAATTTTCCGAACACTTTGGTACCCCATCACTAGGGCAATATTGGTATATTGTACACATTATGATCATTTTAAATTACAGTCCAAAAAATGTATTTAGGTAAAATAACAATGGTGTGAATTGTCTAAAATTATAACAAAAAAATTAGTAATATATTTTATAGTAAATATTTATATGACTCTCAATTTCGTACAGTTTAAAGTTGTTAAGTATTATATTTTTAATTTTATAATCTCTTTAAACTACCAGTTTTGATATAATAATTATGAAAAGTGTTTACCAATTTATCTGTTCCAAACTTTGTCTGTGAAAAACTATACTCTATATAAAAAATATATAAAAGTACTGAAACCTACGAGAGTTGTAGTTTGAACATAAAAAACAAATATTTATATATTTTATATTAATCAATTAATTTATACACAAAGTTTATTTTAAAGTTTTGAAAAACATATAATATTCAAAAATATTTATGCAGATTCTAAAAATTATCTTTTATGTCATTGAAAAGTGTCAATAGATAGATACTTTATTATTTACATTTACACTTTATCATTAACAAATTACAGATATTTGTAACTAGTTATCTATGCAGACGCCAAGTAAACCAAAAACAACAATAAAACGTATTCAAAGGTAAATGTAAAATATATTTACAGATTGATTCCAGTATAAAATGTATAGTTAATCCCACGAAGCAACTGGAAAAATAGCTTTTAGTTCAGTACTTTCTGAAGCTTTTTTCATCTTTAATGTTTGTGCATAACTTGGTGTAGCTTTAGTATCATTATTGAAATCAACAGCGCTATTATTCAATACTGCTGATGAATCAACATCTAAAAAATATTACAACAAATTAAAATAATTTCAATTATATAAATTTGAAGAATGTTTCGTATTAATACATTTATATTTGTAACAGATGTCGTGTAAAGTACTAAAATAGCACAATTTATTAATATGATTTTATAATTTGATTATTTCTTTTTTTTTTTTAAATTTTATACATTTTGAAAATAAATAATAAATACTAGATAGATAACAAAAATTTGAATAACAAATAAAAAACACATTTATTTGTGAATGTAAATTATTATTATAAGATCAATTGAAATTTTTTAAAAAAAATCATTCTTTTAATGATTATTGAACCATTCTATGACTATAGAAACATATTTTAATGTATATTAAATAATATGAATATTAATTTTAATGGTTAAAAATATCTTTTACCTAATTATTAATAAAAAAAAATCACTATTTATGTAAAATTAAGGCATTTTATTTGTTAGAAATAATGTAAAATCCTATTAGATTAGTAAAAAGTATTACCTAGTTCAACAGATTCATCACCTTCTAATATTGGACTTATGTTTCCTCCTTTTGATACTCTGCGCCTATACATCAATTAAATAATTAGGTATAAAAAAATAATTAAATGTATTAAAATAAAAACTGCTGACCCTTTCATAGTACGTGATATTTTTTCTGGTGTTTCACCGACAGCGTGTTCATCTTTAGCCTTGTTTAAATTGTCTTTAGATGGTGTCAATGAACATTCATTAATTTTCCTTTTTGATTTTGTTGTAGTATTACTGTCTAAATTATAATAAACTGACCAAGGTAACAACACAATATTTTTATGGAGATTTTGTAATTTGGGTAAAATTATGTTCATTGCTTTCGCTTGTGATGCATCTCTCAATGCTACCCATGCTGATGTATCGTTTATATATTTAATAAATACATTAGCTGGAATGATAAAATAAAATGTTTTACGTAATTATATTTTCTAAAAAAATAAAACTTACTAAAAGGTTCAAAAATGTTTGTGATATCAATAGTTTTCCACTCAGATGGGAATGTAATATGATAAACATGGTCCCTTTGTAATTTGGCTAGAAAAAACATTTTTATATATAATTCTTAATTTTAATCTAGAAATTGTATGTTTCAGTTTTAAAAATTAATTTTGATAGCAATAATTTGGGTATATATTTATGATATAACTAAAACCAACTACAAGTTCATGTAGAGAATGTAGTGAATGCACTGAGATGAGACAATTCACCAAATTTTTGTTTACCCATTGTATTATTTAACAGAATTTCACACCACCTGTTGACCTGACACCATCCCATCTGTCACTTATTACGACAGTGGTACCAAAGAAGTAATCTATTTCACTCCCAGAGAAATAATGGTATTTTTAACACTTTCATCATTCCTACAGAAACAATAACTACTGGAATCACCCTCCTGGGCTTTCCACCTGTAGGAACTCAAGACTAAACGCAAGGCATCATATGCCCCCCTAAAGAGTATTACTTTTTAAAAATAACATAATGATAATGATAACATATTTTACATTATATTAATATTTAATTCGGTAAATAACACCTATTTTATTAACTTAAACTACAAACTAAGAACTTTTATTTGGTTAGTTTAAATATATACTCTTTAGTATAAAAGTTAAAAACTTACGTTCAGGGCCATTTAAATTTAAACATGGATCTTCATTATACCGAATCATAAAAAGCCTAAAATAAGATAATAAGACAATGAAATTATTTTATTATAATTTAATAACATATAGTCTAAAAGACCTACTAACTTATTCTCATATTTCTTGAGGTATGAAGAATCTGGCAAAATTTGATCTTTGATATCTTTTATTTTACCTAAGAACAAGTAAATTATTTAATTACACAAATTGTAAACATTAATACAAAATCAAAAAAAAAATTTAAAACATTGAAATGTGAGAATTTTTAAATTCTTTATAATTTTAGATTCTGAGTAAAGCGAGGAATGTATTGATTTTACCAACAAGATAACATTTGAGACTTTGAATCAATGATATGAACAAGTGAATATAAACACATTAATTTATAAAAATCATTAGTCTTCGCTTACCATAAAAATTACAGAGGTTGACAAAAACAGAACTAGTCAGATATGAATCATATCCAGCATCATGCAATTTTGATGTGTCACTAATGTAACCAACTTCAGGTATTTCTGGTTCTTTAATAAAAAAAAAATCAATATTTTTATTTAAATTAATGTTTTTTTTTTTTTTTAAATTACTTACCTAAAATTGTGAAATCCTGGCATTGTTCTGCTAAAGATTTGTTTAAATCATTCAATACAGTTGATCTAAAAAACCCACAAAGTGGTTCTATACCACTCATATATTTGGTATCCAAAAACCTAAATTCAAAATAAAGTTTTACACAAATTTTAATTTGATATCATAAGTATCATTACAATTATATAATTAAATAAAAGATAAACTTACCGAGGTGATATTAATTTTACGGTATCTTGAAATTCATCATAAACAGAAGGCAATGGTAAACAAAACTGATGAATCATATGACAAACATCCAATGTCATATTATGGCCAACAACTGGTTTATTCTTGAAATAAAAAACATATTCAAATTGCAAATAAAAATTTATTTTAAGGTTGTTTAATAAATTTACAGAATTCCGTATTTTCTTCAGGATAGCTGAAAACCCAACTGCTTTTTCCAATTCAATCTGCTCCCGTTCCATTCTTTCTTTTGCCATTAAATCTCTTGATCTACCCTTGTATGCTACCATCACGTTACCAACACCTTCAACTATTTTTGTTTGCATACAAACTTTATCATCTGAATACTTTAGTTGGATTTCCTGTAATGTAAAAATAAAACAATAAGTAGAATCTAAAATTTTTTTTTTTTTAAATCTTAAATCCTACATTTCAGTTGAGAATAATTTTAAAATAATAACATACCATTTATCAGTTCTTCGTTTTACCTTTTATACTTCTATAATACACAACACTGACAACACAAACTCAAACTGACTAGTGACAGAGCTCTGTTGCTCTTGTTTTTATTTATGTATCTTAACAGATGTATAGACTATTACTAAGTATTAAGTCTATAATTACTTTTCTTTTACTACAAGGGGATTTTTTGTCCTTGTCTTTGTAGAAATTGAGACTGTTCTATTTCCAATGTACCAATTGGTGTAGTAAAGCGTTCAGAATTCTGGAAGCAGATTTGAATTTGTTGTAGAGTCTACTTTAAATAGACTTTCCCACTTTTTGTTTTTTTAATTTCTCCAAAAATTAAAATATTCTAAATTTTAATTGCTACTTATTTATTATAGTTTTTTTTTTTTTTTTTTTTTAAGATTTTTGGGGATAATGTCAAAAATGAGGAAAGTCTATTTGACAGCAGATTCAAATCAGAATTCTTATCACTTTGGTATAAAAATAGGCATGTTGGAAATAAAACACATCTAAATTCTTATGTTCCACGTGTGTAAGATAAAGACAGAAAATCAACACTTCTAATCCCCATAAGTGATACACAAACTAACCTGATATAATAGTTTTCTAATAAAAGAATTGGTATTCTCTGCTACGATGATTTCAGAACTAGTGTCATTTTCTAATAATTCCTTCACCTTTTCACTATATATTAATTTAATATTTTATTAGTCAACATATAAAAAAGTTCATTCTTTAAAGATACCGCATAATAACAATAGAAATATTCACCAAGCATCTTCTATTACTGTTTTATGATTATCAGGTATAGGAATAATATTGGGAGCTTTTGATGATGATGATGATGTCCCAGCCTGTGTACAACTTTGCTTATATCGATTAAGTAACTCGGTGCGCAATACTTGTTCATCGGGTAAAGTGAGAAAAGGAATACCTAAAATAATATAAAATTGAAATTAATACTTAAACAAAACCAAATGCGTTATAGTTATTATTAAAACATGCCATGTTTAAATAGTTTGTTAAAGTCGAAATTGTGGTTGCTTAAAAATTCCATGCTGGAAGACTGACAGAGAAACCGGCAATCCGGTGCGTATCGACTCATCGGTTTCGGAAATGTATAAAAATTATACGCCCTATACGTGAACCTGGTTCGACAGAAATGACCGATTTAAAAACACGATTGACTACTTACTCAAATAAACATTTCGTTTTAATAGAAATTTTACTTTTTCTTTTCGGTGTTGTACTTGACAATGCACAAGCCGACCTGGACCATCAAAAAGTCCATACAGTTACTCCTGAGTTTTTGGTAATACTGAGCGGCCGTGTCGAATACACTGACCATTGTACCGTTGTGGAGGCCTGTAAATTCGCCATCGATCGCGATGAATGAACACTCGTCTATGGCCTGTTCGATTTCCGGCAGCAACCGGTAGAAATCTACGAACGAAAACGCGTAAACCAATTACGGACGACTGACGTTGTGCACGGTGACGGCGACAATAAATTACTCACTCTCGTTGACCACTTCCATATTCAGGCAAACAATCAACCCGAACTTACCCGGGGTCTTAATACAAAAAAAAAAAAAAATACGCAATTATAATCACAGCCCGCCGATTACGCAGCTGAAAACGGTTCAAACGTTAATGCAATCTGCTACACCGCGTGTACGGGAAAACGTGTCTGAACGAGCGACGAGCGACGAACGCTGAATCGAATGCGATCAAAACAACAATAACATAATTTCGGGAGGACAGCGCGGCCGAATATTACCAGCAGAATATTACGGTAAACGTTACGCAAGCGTATACGGTGGCATTTACAATATTCGCCTACAAACACGGAACACGGTAAAAAAAGAAAAAAAAACTAACAACAACAACAAACAAAAGCAACAAACGAAATATTATTATTATTATTATTATTACCGGTTTCTCACACGGATCTGCCCAGAGGAAAATTTGTATTCCGTATTACATTCCGGAGGAACGCAGAAGACTACGGTCGTTCGTCGGCCCCGTATCTACACAGATAACAAACAGTACATTGCCAACTTTATTTTTCGTCGTTCTCCAGGCGAACGTCCGCCTAGATTTCCGATCCTCTAGACCCGTGTCGGTGTCGTTTAGACCTGTGGAATAATCCAATCTAGGTGACGGTTCGCGCGCACGCAGTTTACCCGCGGGAATTCAATCGACGGGACTAACTAACTGACCCAAATTATGGGTCAAAGGCCTAGTCTAGACACCGGGGAACTAGAAGCCAATCGGGATCTAAATGGACGACGATCTGGGTGGACTGTGACCCGTACCACTTTTCCACTTGCCGAGAATTCGGTCATAAAACGACGGAAACAAGACATTCGACAAATAACTACTAGATAAAAAAAAATTGCCCGCTATCATATAGATAACCGTGAACAAACCCGACGAGACGCCGAGAAATAAAAATCTTTTCGGTCAATCGCTTATCACCGTTCTGATAGGACCGTTATATTATCGGGATCTTACTGAGAAGTTATCCATCCTGTTTTCGATAACGTGTGTTGCCTGTGGCAACCGCCAAACAGTGAAATTACAAAACAAATACCCAAATTCATCGAAGAGTAAATAGTAAAAGTACTTGGAAAGAAATTTTGAATCTAACGGTTCCCGACAAGTAAAACCAAACCAAACCAGTCTCCGGACTAACCGGCAGCGAGATGGAAGCAATGGGAAAGACAGACGAAGAGTTATTCAAAGGTATTCCACAAATTTTATGCCAATTTAACAACATTAAATAGTGTAAAGGTTGTGAGTTAAGAGGCTAAATTAAATTTATAATTCCTGTGTTTAATGGGTCTGATGGTATTTAATATATTATACAGTGTAAATATTGTGTTACAATAATTGTGCGTTTGTTGAGTCCCGAATACTCGAATACCAAATCATTTAATCGAACTGCTATTAAATCACAAACACAGATTTTTCTTTAGTCAAATAGTAGATTCTTAGTTTGTTTTTTTTTTTTTTAATATTATCATATAAAAATTTAGTGAGTATTAAATCAAATCAAAAGTGCTCTCATTTTTAAACATAAAATTAAAATGGAGAATATTTGTATTAATTAATAACACTCATATTAAATGTATTGTTTATGAGTTATAACAGTTTAAAATTTAGTCCCGTGGAATAGGTAAGGGCGATAAACTGCGTGTCCGTTTTTAGATGATAAATTTATAAAACTTGAGTAGTAAATAAGTATTATGAAGTTAACTCTATACCTACTACATTATAAATACCCAGCAAGCATAACAGTAAATTCAATAAAATAAACATTAATTAATGAATACCTTGAATTTAATTTCATCTAAATTGTTAATACTCGTAATTATTATTTTTTCAGCTGTTAAACAGTCTCTAATAGATAATTCTTTATGGAATAATTTAATTTCGAATGTGGAAACTGAAATTATAAAACTGTTTGAAGAAAAAGGAACAATAAGTACATCAAATATAAAGCCTCAACAACCCGAGATGATTGAATTAATTAACAAACTTATATTTGAGTATATGGATTGGATGGGATATAAATTGACAAACTCTGTGTTCATGAAAGGTTGCTACGTTATTATTTGTTGATTAATCGTTTATTAGTTTTTAGTAAATAAATATAGAAATAAAAACTAATTAATTAATTAATTAAATAACGTGTTGCCCGGAGTATTGTGATGAGTGTATTATACGACCGGTTTTTAATTGAAAATTCATCATCGGGTATATCGCAGACAAAATGTAAAACGTGACTAAATATAAAAAAAATAAAATGAAAGAATAATACATTGAAAAAAATTTTGTATAAATTGGTCATTTTACACAGAAATAATTTATTTTAATAAGAGAGATTATTTAGAATTGGTTATTATTAGACTAAAATTCTGAACGATAATACAAAAAATGTAAAAATAATATCTTATGTCAATGTATTTTAGATAATAAATAATATAATAACCAAATACATAATTTTTTTTCATTTCTTAGCATATCTGCGTTTAATAACAACCCATTTTAAATAATCTCTTATTAAAATAAATTATTTCTGTGTGAAATGACCAATTTGTATAATTTTTGTCCATGTATTCCTTCATTTCATTTTTCATATTCATTATTGCATTTTTACATTTTGACTGTGATCTACCTGATGATGAATTTTTAATTCGAAACCAATCGTATAATACACTTATCGTAATACTTCAGGCGGCTCATTCATTCGTTTAGTTTTTTTTATTTATATTTTTATTTACAAATATTAACCATTTCAATAATTTTGTTTTTACTATATTATTTTATATGTACATAATTGATTATCTACTTGGCTTTTAAAAGAATCGGGAACCGAAATTAAGGTGAAAACCAATAGAAAATACATGGCTTCACAATTAGATCTTGAAGACAATGATAAAACATTACGTCTGTAAGTATTAATTATACATACCTGCCATATTAAATATTGCCATATTGCCAAATTTTGCATATTTAATATGCCAATATTATCATATTAATGGTATTTGTTTTCAGACCTCTCTTGACAGTTTTACTGACAATGTTTAAAAATAAAGATGGAGACAAAGAAGCTTTAGACGATTGATGTGTGTACTTCCTTCAATTATATCCTTAAAATTTTTACTTAATGTACATAATTTAAATTTATTTTTATTTTGTTAATCATTCAATTCATTTACTGATTAATCACTAAGAGATCATGAGTGATATTCTGAACTATTATTAACAGAAAAATGCCCTCTATTTAAAGTTGCTAAATGTAATTAAAAATGACTACTCTATTGTCAAATTTTTCCTGAGAACAAAAATTATTGCACGGTATTATATTTTGTCTGTTTTATATACATATTTATCTTTTTCCTACTACTTTTAAACACTTCTAGCAGCTTCCTCATGATTAAATGAGTTCAAACTCGGGAATCTATTTCATAGACAAATTGAGGTGATAAATATTGGATTAGATTTCAACGTGAAATTCACTAATTATTTCTGAAAAAGGTATTTATTTTAGCTTTGAACAATCCAAAATAAAGTTAGATAATTAAAATGTTGTATACCTATGAATGACATTAGTAGGTATCAAGGATTGTAATTTTGTGCTCTTTAATTTCACTATATTTTCGGAATCGGTATAACTGTTTGTTATAGTATCGTATTCAAATAATGTTTAATGTTTATTTATTTCAAAAATGTACGCCCTTAGACACCAGTGGCGCCGAAATCATTTTTTACACGTGGAGTAATCATTTTCGCGGTACCCACCAACTCCTATTAAAATGGTACAAATAAGCAAACAACAAAAAAAAAAAAAAACTCAAATATATACAGCGATTTACTGAGATTTAGGGATGGCCTAACGCAATAGATCTAGAGAAATAATTTGTCTAGCTCGCGTTGCAATACGGCACGGTACTCTGCTAACCTAATTCGACCCTATTCGTTTAGTGTATGACGAAAAATATTTGGGACGGAACTTTGATTCTAGTGACAATGTACACAGCGACAAATGATAAAATTGTAGCATTTTATTACTTTCCCCACGATAACAAATTTATGGAACGAACGACGAGTGCGCAGCCAACGGTCATACAACTTGTAATAAGGGCACACTGGGATAAAAATCGAAAGTTTTCCGGTGTTTTAATGCCGTCGCCGTGGCAGTGAGGGTTTGATCAATTGTCCGTTACGGACGTTATTGAATGTTGATGTGCGTCTGCGAATGCGGCGGTATACCTACCTAATGTTTTGTAGAACGGCGGTTACGTGTTAAGACATTATTATACCTACCAGTTTAACATTGTAAAACGGCATGTCGAAAAGTACAAAAAACGAAAGTTATGGAAACAGCGGCGAAATAGTAACCGTCAAGTTTCGCACGGACGAAAATGAAACGCTGACACGAGCGTTTGACTTGAACACCACAGTGGGTTCACTCGGGACATATCTGCAGCAAACGCTCAACGCGGGCCCGAACGAAATAGCGATTGAACGCGACGGGTCGGCCGTAGAGCGCGGGGAAAGTCTCAAGGAACTCGGCGCTACTTCGTTGGGAATTTTCGAGTTGGACCTGCGGGGCGACGGCCTGCGTCTGCCCAAATCGGCGTATTACATGCCGGCGGTAGACGTGATAACGGTGAATGTCAAAAAGAAGAGACTAGTGGTGGAAATCGAACACTGTTCCATGGATAAACCGTGGCTAGGCGGATACCGGAACCGGGACAACGGTAAGGTGTACCACCACGCGGCCGCGCAGACAGATTTCAAACCGAAAGTGTACGCGGACGCGGTTCAAGTGGACGCACGGTCGCAAACGTGCGCCGACAAGGGCGTCGATCACGGTTCGCGAGACGTTTGGACGCAGACAACGGATGCGCCGGACGGGAGGTTGTTGTCGGCAAAACGGTACCAGAGCTACCAGTCGTGGTTACAGGAGGAATACGTTTTGAGCGGTGTGCTGAAGATACAGCGGGCCTTTAGGAGGATGTTGGCTCGAAAGAGGACGCGGCAGACCGCGGCGGTGGAGCGACAGAAGACCGTGGCGACGGAGCCGAAGACCGTGACGACCGCGCTGGAATCCAAACAGCAGCACTTCTATTCGTTGTACACGATGATCGGCAAGTGGTGGAAGAGGGAACGGCAACGAATCAAGGAGATCGGCGCGGAGAATTGCAGAAAAGCGGCGCAGATGAATTTGCTCAAGAAGGAAATCAAGTTCCTGCTAGAGATGGAGAAACAGCGGTCGGAGCTCAAATACGAGTTGACCAAGCACGACGACATAACGTTCCTGAACAAGACGTCCAAGCCGAAGATGTTCAAGAACAAGACGGGCAAACTGTTGACTATAGACACGGTGGGCAATCAAAAGGCCAGGGTGCTGAAGAAGATGTACGCAAACATTATGGGCGAACAGGGGGACGGGAATAATAGGCCGGGCCGGGCCGAGGTGCTGGACGAACTGTACGCTGTGGTGGCTTGTTCGAGTTACAAATACAAGAAGAATCTGCTGGACGTGATAGCGATGGAAAGGGACTATGCGGAGATCGGGGCCGACTGGTCGAGCGTGCGGTCGGTCCGGTCCCGAGTGGAACAGATGTTCCGGCACTTCATCAGACAGCCCGAGGTGAACCCCGAGGCGGATTCGTACTACCGGCCTACCGAGAAGCGCATACTGAACGTCTACACTTGCATCAGGTGCAAACGGAACCTGGCGGCCACGGATTTCTCACTGGAGAGCCGGGTGAACCGGACCAACGTGTGTGCCAACTGCGAGTGGACCGAACAAGTGGGCCACAAGCGGATCGATATGGCGCCGTACCGGCGGATGCTCAAGACACTCCGGCACGACGAGATGAAGCTGGCTGCGTACGACTCCGAGTGCTTCATGATGCAGCCCACCGAGGTGTACCGGCTGGTGTCGGTGGTGTGGCGGGAGAAGTCGGCCATCGGCGAGTGCGGTCAACTCAACGGATTGCGGTTGGTGCGATGGCGCCAGGACGAACCCTGGTCGCCGTGGAACTGCGTGCTCTTGACCCGGGCCGAGGCGGACGTTCACTGCCGGCTGGTCGGGAACCCGGCCGACCACTACGACGCTCAGTTCGTCAACTGGGTGACCAACAGGCACATGACGGCCCGGTTGCAGTTCGGCAACCTCGTGCAGGCTGTCAAAAACCGGACAGCGAACAAGGCCAAACCGCTGTCGAAAAACTGGAAAGCTGTCGCCGAACATTTTCGTATCAAGACGTACAGGTGAATTTCGCAAAGCCCGTTTAACACAATTCCAATTCCGAGTTTTGTCTATTTGATTATTGGTTTTACTATGGACCTGTTTTTTTTTTGCTTCTGTAAACGCGAATTTTTTATCCATCTAAATCATAAAAATCGCACGAATGATTTTTGGTAACAAATTTGTCACGTAATAGGAGTAGGTAGGTAGTAGTTATTATTATTCGTTGCCGCCCCTCCGTCTCTAGTCGAAATGTTTCCGGACGGGAAGCTCCCCGGGCGCGCGTCAATATTGTGACCTAAACAGTCGGTTATGAATTTAATGACAATATAGCGAACAGCTATGCCAACAACCGACGTACAGAACGGCAGTGTCTTCCGAGATTGACATTGTCAATAATTTATTAGGTACAGTAGATAGTCTATGATCTTTTGTTTGTCTTGGCGTACGTCGATATCAATTAAAATTAAGCTTTTAACTTTTGTTTCGAAGTACGTTATTCATTTAAGTTTTTTTTTATACTAGTCGAAGCATGAGTACGTAGTACCGACTAAGATGTACCTTGTGTCTTAGTCCGTGGTACCTGGTAAAGTGGATACTATACATGGTGAAGATAATACATCTATACTCAACGCTGAATTCATTTATTATTACCCAAGTGTATTGTTTGATTTTATCACGTAGAACACAAAATAACAACATAGAGTCTAAGGATAATATAAGTAAACAACAAAGTTGTTAGGGTTAAAAATGGTATTTATTTTCGTCGAAAAATATTTTGGGACAAAAAACCAGACAACTCGACTTTGATTGTATTTATTAAAAAATATTATATTTCGGGAATTATTGATGAAAGGGTTATTTTGTGCTTTTAGGAAATAAATACCAGTTGACCCCTGAGAAAAATTTGTATACAAAAATTCATTTTTAACATGGATTTTTACACAAATAATTGATAGCATACTTCGTTCATTGATATTGGGGTTATGGAGTAATACCAGCCCGTACAAAGGGAGTAAAGGGGATCAGCACAAAAACTCACCTTTAAGAAATTATAATATACATATAATATTGTGATAACACACGTTTTAAAAAAGATAAGAAGAAATGAGAGAAAGAATTCAAAGACAATCAATAATAATAATAATTAATCAATATTTCTAAAATTATTTTGAAACACTCTTTTTATTGCTATTTTTTTTCATATTTATTTACTAGGCGACAAAAATGTTATTGTGCAACATTAAATGGTCAGTATAAAATGATCGAATGCTTCAAATAACATTAATTCATTCTTTTCAAATTTTTATTTTTGGCAAATATGAATCACTTAGTGTGTAACCAGCTAAATAGCTATCCAAAGCAAACGCACCCATTGTACTGAAAATTGAAAATGTTCACAATTTAAAAAATGATAGCAATTCCTTATAAGGTTATCATTTCTATAGTTTATTATGGAACGGTATCAAAACCTTTGTACGGTTATCATTTTTATAGTTTATTAGGGAACAGTTATCATTTCTATAGTTTATTATGGAATGATATCAAAACTTATCCATATTTGACTAGAATATAAATAAGTCCACGCAATCCAAATATTACTCGAATTGGATTAGAATCGTCATGAAAAAGTCAGTTGTAGCAGAAAAACTTGCGACACTTTAGCAGACAGCAACTACATTTTAGGTAAAATTATAATAATTGTTTACAAGTTTATTAAACGTTCTAGGTGTATAACTGTGAAAAAAAAATCAATTTACTCAAAAATTGTGTAGATAATCACTAAATTAAAAAAACAAAATTCACTTTTATACTACAAAAATATAATCGAATAATCACACAATTTCGGATGTCATGTATTGGTACCTAATTCTAACCGTTATTTCATGTAATCAAGTGAAGTGATAATTAGTAAGAATTCTCATTATTCACTACCTCCAGTAACAAATACATTAATAATAGGTAATTTAACAGTTGGTTTTGTTTACAAGTCTTTCCTAGGTATTATTATTGTCTTGTTTACCAATCTTTGTTGATTATTTTTTAAATGGTATTTGCTTTAAAAATAAGTTATTTTTTATTACTGATTAAGTTATGTTGACCTCGATGATGTAATGTAACATAGTTTGCAGTATTGTATTTTTAGTTCAACGCGTAATGTTTTAAATATCACAAATCTGTTGGCAGATAGCTAATCTATAACAATAGATAGTCACAATATGTATTATGCAGGTTTATTTTGATAACTAATAACAAAAATTAATATTTTCAGTATTTATACATTGTAAAAGAATTAGGGTATATATAAAAATAAAATAGACAATTTTATAAAAAATTTATACATTTCTTCTTTTTGTAATAACAAAAAACACAATAAAAGTTTTTCCTTACAAAACTTATAAGTCTTTTTTTCTTTTACCAATGTCACACATTTATTATTGTTCCACACTAGTCACAAGGAATCAAATAGTGTGTTTAAATTAATAAACTAAGGCACTGATTAACATTACATATTATTATCATAATTATTATTTTTACCTTTGGCCAAATCCAATTTGAAGGTATTTTAAAAACATTTAACAATTATATTTATAATTTATTAACACGTTAACTGCACACATCTGTTTTTTTGGATACCATTGAAAGGCTCACCAAATTTGTTTTTGATTTAATCAATTGTTATAAAAAAAAATACCCACCATTCAAATAAAGCGTATATCATTGCAGTCATACAAAAACTGACTAAATTATTATCATTATTATTTTAATTTAAAATTTATTCAATTTTGATTTTAATTAAGAATTATGTTTAAATTGGTTTCTAAATCACTTAGACACTTTTTGCATGACTGCGATTACATAATTAAAAACATTTTTAAAGACCATTCAAAAAAAAAATTTGAGTTTGCAACTTTATATATAGGTAGGACATACATGTTAACTTTTAAATTTATTTGTCCTAACTTTTTTTTTTTAAATATATATTTATCATGAATACAAATTGTTGAATAAATATTCAAGTGAATAAGTTAGGTTAGATATAAAGAAAAATAGTTGACAAATTCAAATTTATTTTTAAAATATATGTCTTCGTCATATTTTTAAACAATAATCATTTTTGGAATTGTTGGTATATTTAATTTCAATTGTTATTGAACACATTATTATAGTATTCAGATAAGACAATTTGTAGCTGGTATCAGTGCACAGTTAACGTGAAAGGCCAATTAGATACTAAAAGAGCCAATCTTAGCAAATACAATTTTGCTAAACATAAAAATAGGAAAAGTTTTGCTTTAAACACTATTTGAAGTATTTGCATGCCAAAAAAAATCAAGTTGTTTTAACACGTTTGCTCTTTTAGTGTGCTCTATTGGCCTTAAACAAATTAATTGTTTCTTAGAACTAGGCACTAAAATAAAAAAATATAATATTGTTCAATCAGTCGATAAGTCTCAGGCTAGCCATAACTTTGCCTTTCCAAAGGGGCAATACCTGATTGTCGTCAGTGATTTCTTCTTGGATGCCAGTTGACGGAGATTCATCAAATTCAGTAGTAAAGAAATACCTGTATTGTAAATAATAAAATATAAAATACAAAGTTATATAATATACATTATATAAAACAAAAGTATACATATTATAGAAATTGCTGTCCATAATATAATTAAATTAAAAATCATAATAATTGTTACCTATAATGTCCTTTTTTTGGCATACATTCAATGAACTGTTTTAATGTTATTGGGTGTCCATTGATTTTCTTCCTGAAAGGGAATTCTTCATCATTAAAATTATATACAACAGTGGTAGTGGTTGGTGGCGTCGTGACAGTATTTGACGTCGATAGTGCAGCTGACTCTTCTGCAGGTAGTCCACGGCCAGATGACGAAGAAGAAGTCCTATAAATTAAAATTTTCATACTATCTGTCTATTCATTTATTAATCTGATGGCTAATTGGATATTATAAAGGATGGGAGATTAGATAAAATATATATTAAAGAAAAACTAATTTACAACTACCATAATATTGTTATATTTTAATATTATTGTTTTCTTTTCATGTTCATTATGTGTATCTATTTATTTTATTATCAAACATTTCATTAAAATTACCAGTAACCACTTAATTATTGGTTGTAAACTTTTCTTAATGCATTTGATGCGCTAAATGTAACTGACATACTATCTAACAGAAGGTAATTAATTTTTTTTTTTTATACTTAACTTTTATTTAATCTATTAACAAAAGCATAAATTCAATACTAATAAATGTATTAATATAACAATATTTTGGTTAATTCTGATGATAGTTGTAGTATATGTGTAATAGATTCCCATATTTATACTATAACATGTAGTTTTACTTCTCTTCTTGACAAATGTATTTATAATAACTAAATCATATGCTTTACAGAAAATTCAAAAGTATACATTCTCATCAAATTTATTCTATTCTTTAAACCCAAAACATTCCCTAACTTACCCTACATTCTTCTAGACTATAAATAGTCAAAATTGGAAATAAGATAACTAATCAGAGTGTGACAAATTTATATCATTCATATTAATTTTGTAATTTTACCTTTGTTTGTAATTCTTTTTAGTCATCTGGTCATTTAGTCTGCGCCCAGCTTCAATTAACTGGTTGTCTGTATTAGGGAAAGGAGGTGGTGGCATACTAGGATCGGCAACAAATGGCTGTTTAGGCATATGATTGGTCCAAGAGCCACTACTTCCACAATCTACATTGCCGCAATCTAAAAAAATGATAAAAATTGCACACCATATTCAACATAAAAATGAAAAAAAAAAATTGCCTTAATGATTTTTAACATACCATGGGAAGAAGAAGCTTTTACGGTTGTGATATTAGTGGATGCTGTACACCAGCTAAAAGCTGGACCTGGGTCAGCAAGTGCGTCGCCAGCACACATTGGGCTCTCTTGAAGCCATACCATACAACGATTGGTCGTCCTGCTTGAATAAGATAAAACAAATTAGCTAATTTTAAGTCAGACACAATATATGAAACATACAATATCACAGTAATATATACAATACAATATCTATAAAAGTGAAATTAAATAAATAAAAACAATAACTACTTTACTTGTATTTTTAATTAATGTCTTTGGGTAAAACCCCAAATCTATAAATAAATTAATATAAAAATAAACATACTCTTCTCTCAACTTGTTAACATTGGTTGGTAGTTGCGATTGTCCTGATACAACACTTATTCCACTGTCAGTCATAGTACGCCGACTGCCCCAAGTGTGACGCCCTAAACCTAAAAATTACATAAAATAGTATTTGTTTTTTTTTATGTTTCAAAATGTGCATACTTGATACTCGTAACTCTAGGTTAGGAACAGCGTTTTGATAGTCTGGTATTGATCGGCTCTTGGGTACATGGCGACTGGGTTCAGAACTCTCTACTGTGAAGTCTGTGTAGTTGCCACTATCATATCCAGATGTTCGATTATCCTGATACATAATATATACATTATATTTAAGCATAATGCAAATTGTATTCTATGACCCAGTAAAATTAAACATACTTTGTCTCTACGTTTAGATAGATTAGGATTAGCTGCTGTCAGATAACTACTAGCAAATTGTTGAACAGGACGGTTGACTTTGCCTGACGCTTGTCGCCTATTTAATGATTGTTCAGGTGATTTTGGAGGTGATTTAAAGTATTTTTGGACATGTTGATCTAAATGCATAACATAAATCATAAATGAGAATAGAATTCAATGATTGGCAAACTAAAATGAGGAAAAAAAGAGATAT